ACGAAATATAGTAGAGGTTTTACGAAGTTATTTGGGCAGATGAACAGCCCCAGGAAATTTGGGAAATGCTTGCTACGGCGGCATATGGAGTGGAAGACCGCGTTTCTGTTCGATTTTAGTTATTTTTTATTTATCCTCAATTGTTATTAGAAAAATATTTTTACCGTTATTTTTGCTTTGAATAAACGAAAAAAAGAAGACAATTAAAGTAGCAATAGAATGCAAGCTACAGAAAGTATTGCATAATTCATCCACTATTAAGCTCTGGTGCAAAAACAAGTTAAAGAATATTTTGAATCTTTTGGATTTCGCGGATAAAACATTTGGAAAATGATGTGATTTTAGTACTGGTTGGAACTGAAGGCGAAAAAAAACTATGGTGACGCTACTCAATTAGTTCGTAGGATGACGTACAACTCTGTTGGTTATGACGTCGACATTTTGGGGTGCGCATGATGTAATAGTCAACAAATATATGTTACGAAAAGGCAAAGGATCAACAATGAATGAATGACATAGCATGATTAATGCGCTGGAATGGCAATGCTGCAGGAAAAGAAAACGAGCCCAAAAGGAGAAGAAATAAACGCCCTTTCACCAAAACCATGCGTCATGCCACAAATTGATCACCACAGTTGTAAAATTGCATGAATTGCCTTTAAATCTACTCCTATGTCCACCATGTTAGCCCTAAGCAAGTAATTACTTGTTCCCTAATCTCAAAAAAATCCTGGCTGGAAGGAGATATGTTTTCAACAAAAAAAAGGGATTGCCGAAATTCGAGCGTACTTTGACAGGGCCGGACAATTCGTTCGATAAGAAAGGGTTCGCATAAAGGAAATTATGTTCACGTATAAGTCGAACATTGTCTGTCGAAACATAAATCTTTGCTTTAATAATTCTTTAACTTTTTATTCATGCATCAAACAGCAAAATTAGTCTTATGAGATAAGCAAAAAAAAAAGAAAAAAAAAAATAAAGACAAAATAAATTAAATTAATTTTTTTGTTTTTCTTACTTTCATTAATAATAAAACGCGAGCCACGTACAGTCGCATACATATGGCAAATTATCGTTTTTGCATACAACATGAATGCACTTTTTTGCATATGCCAGCACTTTATTAAACTGAAATATTGCTTGATTCGCTTACTATTAAAGCCATAAAAAATTGTATAAAAACTAAGTTAAAAAAAAAAGTAAAAAAAAGACTACACGCATGTACGCACATATATATATAAATATATGCTTAGTTTTATATTAATGATAATCATTTTGAAGATTTCTAAAACTCTATTAGTATTGTGTGCTATATGCGATGTGCGATTGTGCGGACGAGCGAAACAAAGGCGAAATAATATAAAATTTTATAATAAATGCGTTTAATAAAATTATTATCATTTAACATTAATATTTTATAATGCAAAAGTAATAAACAAATTGCATTTAAAAACAACATATAAATGCGCATATATTTGTGAAGGTATAGGCAAAGAAACTTGTTTTACCTAAAGTCCACTCTATCTCTCTCTCTCTCTCTCGCCCTCACACGTTCCCTTCTCTTCTATAACCTAAAGAGACGTAACGTCAAATATATATATATATATGAGTGTTTAGATATTTAAATGGATTTATTAAAGCTATAGATGTAGTCTTGTACTCTGTTCAGTTTTGGTATGGTTTGGATCCTCCTTTGACCTTCTGCGTGTTTATTATTGTTGTTGTTCATTATTATTATTATTATTATTGCGTTTTTTTTTTTTTCAAAAATAAAAAATAAAAAAATAAAAGTTGTTCTAAGATAAATTAAACACACAACCAGAAATGACAGGTTTTTCTGTTTTTTCATTCACAGAATAATACTTGTGCTGATGCGTCTGTTGATTGTTGTTATTGTTGATTGTTGTTGTTGTTGTTGCTTGTAGCATACTACAGTTTATGGTTTTTGTTTTATGAAATTATCAAAAGAGGGTTCATTTAACTTTTTAACAAAACAGCAAAGGCATCGGCAATCGGCAAGAACAACAACAGCAGCAACAATTACAGAAAAAGTGAGTGAAAAAAAAAAAAACAGAAAATGCGAGTAAAGAAATCTTTTAAAAAAATCTTTTTAAACTCATAAATTTTTTTTCAAAATAGAAAAAAAATTCACTTTGTTTTCTTCTTCTTTTTTTTTTCATATACGATGCATTTTCTCCTCCTCAAGATCTTTATGGTGAAGTAGGCGTGTTATTAATTCTTTCCTTTCTTTGTATTTATCGTTTAATGTTTGTTTACCAACTCACACCACATCGGTATGCGCGCCTCTTTATGCTTGTTTGTTTTTCGTAAATTGATTTATTAATAAATAGCATGAAAAAAAAAAAAAAAAAACCAAAAGTCCAACACCGAGAGGAGGAGAATGAATGAAAGATTTTATGAAAACCAAAAAAAAAAATAAAAATAAATAAATAAATATATAAAAAAAAATAAAACGAGAAATTATTGCCAATTGAAAGGAAAAAAATGTAGCCACAGAATTGAGTTTAAATTTTTATTAATTAAAACATAATTTTTCTGGTTAACATTCATTAAATAATATTTTGATTGTATCCTCTTTATAGCAGCAAAGCAAAGAAACAATTTATGCTTTATTTTTCTTAATAATTCTTTCTTTACATTGCAACCGAATTTATGCTCAACACAGAAACAATTAAAAATAAAAATTGACTTCTTGTCTGAGGTGCCTCCTATAAGAAACTCTATAATAATTTCAAGTTCCTCTCCAAAGAACAAAAACTGGAAAAATAGGAATAGAAAATTGCTTAATAGTTAAAGCTTTCCGTTTCGTCTCAAGGAAAGTTTAGAAAATTAGGAAAAGTGTCTTTGCTACAATTTGCGGCGGATGGGCGTCAGCGAATAGAAGCTTCTAGGAAGTATTTGAATCAAAGTTTTGATCAAATATTTTAATATTATTATCACTACATCTCGTCTTACTTTGCATTTTCTAAATTCACTATGCTTTTAATACGGTTTTCTATTTTTTTGCTTTGTTACTTTCAGCGCTTTTTCCAATATTGTGTTGCTCTCCAAAGTTGTTTATTATCCTTTTGTTTTGACCATTCAAGGCATGCGAGTTACACATTGCAGATCGAAAAGAAAGAGGTAGGTAAAGGGAGATTGGTTCCATTCGCTCAAGTGTGAATGTCGCCGTAAGTTTCTAGGAAATCTCTTTAATGCCTTAATACATACTTTAAACTTTCTTACTGCTGGAGATGGATGGAGAAAATTCATTATCCAAAGGAAATGTTGCAGACCTAATGTCTTACCTTTAGAATATGTTTATGTTCAGTTTCATCAAGATAATCATTCAACTGATATGACACTAATCTAAGACTAACACTGTTAAGCAAGCGTAATTTCCAATATCCCATGTTTGAGTAGACCTCTTGAATCTTATGTTGAGTGAACATCTCTAACGCATAAAATATTTATGCCCGTTTTCGATCATTATAAAATCTGAGATCGACCTGAATACCTGTTCCACGCAACTTTCTACTACTGAATTGAGCATCGATTGGTTCGTCTATTTTAAAAAGAAGGAGTAACTCTCCGTGTTTTATAAAATGCCAACCTTTCGTTCGCAACACTCAAGCGAAAGAATTTGGGTTAGAACTTTGTCGTGGCCATCTCTGAATCACAGAAATAGGCACAAAAAAAAAGAAGGGCATTTTGCGTCTGTGTAGCCTTAAGTAAGCTTCAAATTTTCCATTTAGATTTGATATCTATGACTATTTGATAACTTGAGATTAATTAATGTAATCCAAACATGTATGTTAAACTGTCAAGTTAATTAAAGTAAGCGCTAGAGTTAACTTAGGGTCGTTTGTTCAGCTCAGCGAGTAGGAACCTACTTCCACGTGAGGGGAATTTGAAGTAGTGAAAATAAATCCGCTTTCGTCCAAACAATGATTTTGAAGCTCAAGTCATTTGTTCAGAAAAATTTTTAGTTAATTGCTCTAACCGCAAAGTTGTAGTCTTCAGCGGTGAGGCAAAGGAACTTAAACCAAATTGTTTGTGAAAGAGGTCACGCCTTGAATAAACAATGTCCTATGCGTTTTACTAGTTAAGTAGCTCCTAGCAAATCGACCAGAGTTGAGCTCTTACTTAGTCTGAGTCAATCTTTATCTCAGAGCTTAAAGCGATTGCTGCTACAAATCAAAAATTTGTCATAAAAATGTTGTATGCATTTTTCGGATCTTCTTAAGAAGCGCATCAGTCGAAAAGAGCAACTAAGAGCAACTAAGAGCAACTGATTGTTTATTTCGTGATATGATTGCCGCAATACAATCAATTACGCTACACAGCACCCAAAGGTGCCAAATGCAACTTGTAACCGAATTCCGCTTGTAAACAAAAAGTCCCGTCGGGTAAGCACTGCTGGAGACTGCACTTTCGCTACATAGTTTTTAAAAACCCAAAAGCACTTATTATTAATAATCAATGGAAAGGTTGTTCATTAAAAGTGTTTCTAAAGCAAAAAATTGCTTTTTAACTTAAGACGTCTCCTCTTTCTTCTGACTTCAACCGGAGATTGATTTCAGATTCCATTTTTTACAGTCCTGTGAATGAGAAAGCCGCAGAAAAACTATGCCTTAAGATAATATTGTTTATCGCTTAAAGTGAGATACTTATAGGATGTTTAGCCAGAGATAATTAAGAGTCTTTTTAGGTGAAAGCAAACAAAGCTCAGCGATTTCAAAGGAGTAAACACATGTTTTGACAACCGATACCCGATACGGATTTATCTATTTCGCACGTGTTCCGACTAGCATCTGCGTATACTGTTATCATACATTTAAACAGATTTCTGAACCTAATAAAGTTTTCATCAATCACACAAACATTATCCACACTTTCATTGCCACTTTGCCGTGATATTTTTAATGTCATTTAAAAAATTCCGACCACCATCGAAAAGAGGAAAGAAAACAAAAGACAAAAGATGCTCTCACACTTACCTTCGCAGGTAAATTGCCCGTAATGCTTGCCGGAACTCTTATCACCGCACACGACACATTCGATATTCTGTTTGGGATCGATTTGTGAGCCACTATTACTACTTTGTGAATGGGAACTGTTCGCTTGTGAGCTGGGCGTCGAACTACCACCACCGCCTCCACCGCCGCCACCCGCACCACTTGTCCCCGCACCCGAACCGCTACCGCCCGCATTACTACTTCCTACCAGACAATTCGTTTGTGTGTTTTTTAGCATACCACCTAAATCCTGACCGTGTGAACTTTGATGGGCACCCGATGTTGACGTATGATGACCGCCGGCATTCGCATTTGACATACTTGAGAGATCCTCTTTGATCGTATGATGTTGAGCGTTTTGTTGCAGGTTCGTTTGTTGATTATTGGAAGCCGTAAGGCCGGAAAGATCTTGCTTAATGCCCACCGATTGATGGCTGGTTACGCTAGACGGCGTTGTGCCGCCACCTGTCCCCACAGATCCGTTATTTGTATTCTGCGTGCTCGTTAAAGATCCAGGCCCAGCTGAGGCATGTAAATGTCCGCCCAAATTAGGATCATGCCAAGCGGTGGGCGGTGGCACACCCAAAGCCATAGAGCGCGGCAAGCCCAGCTCAAAAGCGGACAATTCCGCACCCGATTGCGGGCGAGGATTGAAAAAACCCGGTGCTGTCGAGGGCGAAGCACACATAACGCCGCCACCGTACACGCTTAAAGAGTTGTGCGTTATCATTTTGGCGGCCGTCGTTGTTTCGGCACAATTATAAGTAGAATGATGCACTTTTTCGTATTAGATGCCGCAGCCTCTAAGGGACAACGGTCTTGTTTTTTCCTTTCAAATTTGATACGAAACCCGAAAAATTATTCAGAGAAAATTTATTATATTTTTCTTTTCTTTTTCTCCTTTTTTTTTCAATATTTTAAAATTCCATTTGATCACTTTTTCAATGAAAAGAAAATAAGAAAAAATTTGAAAAAAAAATTAAGACATTTTTTCTTCACATCATAGAATTTTTTACTTCTTTTTTTTTATTTTTTAATTTTATTTATTTATTTATTTTTTATTTTTTTAACTTTGCAATATATTTGTTAAAATTTTCTCATACTTTCATTATATGGGAATAATTTATTTCTTTTCTTATTTAAATTTTTTTTTCACTTTATTTATCTATTTATGCAATTTTCCCTTTTTTTTTCTTTTTTAATATAACATATTCCAAAAGGAAAAAAAAAAAAAAAAAAAAAAACACAAACAAACTCACTTCTTTTCTTTATTTTCGTTTAAACTCTTGAGCTCTTTGTAGTGTCGATTTTAGATAGAATTTACGTATTCATTGAATTGAACCTTTTGATCTTCGAGAATTGAAAAAAATTATATGTAATTTTTTTAAAATTATTTATTATTATTATTATTTTTTGTTTCTCTATTTTCAGCGTTTGCAACTAATTATAAAAAATTAAATATACATATAAGTAATGTTTTAAAGTTTTAAAGAAATGCGCGTCGTCATGCGAGCAGCGAAAATCTCAGCTGTTTTCGTAAGGCCTCTTAGAGCCTGACTGGCAAAACATTCGTGGCAAAAGGTACACGACCCGACCCGACTCGACCAATTCGACCTAACGACATAACACACAAATCTCTCTCATTCCACCACTCAAATCCTACAGATACATTGATACCTTGAAAGCCATCCAGCCAGCCAGCCAGCCAGCCAGCCAGCCAACAAACATTGCACTCTGTACAATATACAACTACACAACTGACAACGCTACCAATCTAACTAATGGTGTAGTTGTGTTAGTGTTTGTTTGTATGTAGCTCAATATAAGCTATAATACTCTAATATACGATTAACCACCCCGTTATATGACAACAGTACAGCACAATGTTCTCTACTCTACTCTCTATTTCTCTCTCTCTCACCAACCGCATAGAGCAGCTGTTCTTTTCTAACTCGCCTGTGTGTAGCATCATTTGTGCTCACGATGATGAAAATGAAAAATACTCATATTCATTGACTCGGTGTGTGCTCTCTATTGTAAGCGGGGCAAGACCTTCGATGTATTTTCCGTGCACTTTTGAGTCACACTCTACTTAACATGCTGCCGCTGTTTATGTTGCTGTTTTCTACTGCTGCTGCTGCTGCTGCTTCTGCTGTTGTTGTTGTTGTTGGTGCTGGTGGCTTCTTAACACCATATACATACTAATTTATATACATACGTATATTCTCTCCTATATGCATGCAATCCTAACTAACTATACTCATAGCTCTTTTGCTTCGTTGAATCGTTTTTCGTTCGTTCATTTTGCATTTTTCTCATTCAATTGGACTTTTTTATTCCTATTTTTATATATATTATACGTACTTTTTATGTATTTTTTTATTATTTTTTTTTTTTTTTGCTTTTGCTATTCAACCCAGTCGGTTAGCTCGGTTAGCTAACTAGCTACCAGGCAGTCAGTCAGTTAGTTGATTTTGTTGTTGTCGTGTTCATTTTCTTATTAGTTCAGTTAGTGTTACTGTCGGTTACCTCAAGTATGTTTCAATTTTTTCTTCTTTTTTTCTTTCTCTCTCTCTCTCTCTTTGACTTTATGCTTTTTAGGTTATTTTTTTAAATTTATTTCGATTTCAATCTTTTTTCTTTTTTTTATTTTGGTTCAAGAAAAATCTCCACCCAAAAATCAATTTGTGGTTTATTTCGTTTTCTAACTTAAAGTCTTTTCAAGCATTGTAAGTCTTTTGGTTGGCTAGTTGGAAAAGTGCGTTGGTTGCTTTGTTTGCACCTTTTTAAACATTAATGTGACTTGATTAATACGAGCGTCAACTGCCTGTTTGCTTATAAAAATTTAGTACAAAATTTAAGCTAAATATTGGCTAACAACTTACCGACGGTCTTCTGTACTTGTAAACTTTTTCTTAAAAACTGAATAAATCTCGGAAGAAATTATCAAATTCACTTAACTATCTCAACGAAGGTGAACTTTTCCGCAAACTACTATGGGGTTTCATTTTCAAACAGGAGAAGAATAATAAAAAAATCTCTCTAAATAACTCTTTAAAGTACACTCGAATCCGAACATTGCAGGAAATTGTTTCGAAAATAAATCAAGTTTAGCAAAATTTTAGTACGCATTGCACAGTATAAAGTTTGCTAACCGAGTGCATGTCCTTTTCATGCGAAAATAAGGTTGACAATTAAGTTTTCTTCTCTTAATTAATTTTATATATATATATATGTATATATGTGTATATCTATATAAGTATATATTTTTTTTTTTTTTATAAAATATGCAGGATCTCAGAATTTCTTATCACGCCGATAAAAAGTATTATTTCTCTTATTATGGAGCCATAATTTCTGGAAAGTGCTATTATATCCTCCTCTCCTATTATCAAGTGCTTGTACCCGAAACTACTTTCCCCGTATAAAACTAACAGTAATTTTCAGTGAAAAATTTTCATTCAGCAAAAAATATAGAATAAGTTTACAAAAAAAAAAAAAAAAAAATCTATCTGGTTTTATGTGATCAACTAATATCGATGGCTCTGTTGACGCTTAATTGCCATTGAGAAAAGAAGGCGAAATCCTTTCAAATAATTATTTTTGTCCAATCTCGAGATTTCCAGATTTTATATATATTTTTGTGCGAAGGTCATTTGTCAAAGTTGAGGTAAAAATTAGAGAATTATGATATGTAAACATTATTTTCGGACGGCAATCTTTTATATAATTTTTAATAAATTGCCGTAAACTCTGTTGTCGGCAATTTTCCTGTCAATGTCTGGCTTCTGAACACATACTTCCGTATTCAAGTTGAAGCTTATCAATTTTGCAGCATGTCTCTATTTTAGTTAGATAAAAGTGGCATACAAACTGTCTCCGACGATTTTAGCCATATTTCTTGTAGACAAAGGAACTAATTTATTTATTTATTACGATCTGAAAACCTTCAGGATTAAGTTCGGTACATTATATGTGAGATTTTCTATTAAGAAGTTTACTTGGATAATTTAGCATAGTTTAGCGCACAAAAATCTGCCTACTATATCCTGTCTTCTATAGGAAATATAACTTTTAAATCTTCTATGCTGCAACGTAAGCACTTTTCGTAATATAAATCACATGAACGCTTCCCTTCAGCGAGAGAAGTGAACCAGAGACGTGCACATATTATTCCAAAACTATTTCGCAATTAATTTTACATACTATGGAAGAAGCTTTCGCTGAGAGAAACATGGACCATTTTTTGTAAGTTTTAATTGAAAGATGAGATGTCATCCAAATCAAGAAGGAGATCAAGAATAATTAGTTTATAGCCGCAACCTCGCGTAGCCTTCGTTTCCTCATATATTAAGTCTTCAGGCAAAAAAAATTATTTCATGGGAGTCCATGTGAATACTTTCAATATCTACTTCAAAATAGAACGAATTGGCCGCGGAAAAGCATTCAATTTTTGTCGAAGTTAGTGCAACATAAAGATCGCAAATCCTTGCTTTGCTGGTTAATGATTTTGCAAACAAAATCCTATTTCAGGTAGTAGACAAGCCGTTCTTACACCCACCTTCATGGAACAGTGATTCAAAAGAAAAAATTTTAGGGCGCATGATTCTGCACACATGCCCTTAAATCATTGACACTAAAAACCAAAAGCTTAAGAAATATTCTATTAATTTTTCTTTAACAAAATATACGTTCAAAGAGTTTCTAAGTTTCGATGCCTCCACCTGTCTTGGAGGCGTAATAAGACGAACGATTGCCGGCACCATCCAGTTTGCAAGATAGTCCGACAAGTGAGTGGGCTGGAGTATCAGATATGAACGTTTGATTAGGGTCTAAACAATCTCCTCTGGGTAGGACGAAGCATTCCTAATTATTTAACGTCATCCAAATGAGATAACCACACCCATCAGTCCGACTCGCCACGTACTCTTTCTCTGTACCAAAGCCCTATCGCTTTTCCTTAGGTTTTCCGCCAAAAGTGCATGACTGGGCATATGTGATTTACTTGTGAGTGGACGCTCATGACACCTGGTGATCCAGTAGTTTTAGTCTGTAAAGCGTTAGGATGGATTAGATACTACTTTTTGGATCCATACTTATTGGATGCCTTCTAGAAAATTCTCTCTTGGACTTTCATGTATAAGGGATAAAGACATCCACTCAACATAGTCGGGCATCAAATCACATCACTACTTCTAGCAGGCCTGCATGTTAAAACTTGAGTCACTATAGTAGATGATTTCCTAGTAAAGGGGTCTGCAAGCCCTTGTTGATGACTTCTCCAAGATGTGATAGTCAGAAAGAAGCGGGAAACAAAACGCTAAAGAATGAGTGAATTGTTTATTAATTTTGAAAATGTATTGAACCGAACCTTTCTTAAGCCGAACGAATGTCGCCAAATCTTGTCGATAATATTATATATAACTTTAAGCAGATTTTGATTTGATATTGGATGAGCTAAAGAATATTTGCCTAAGAATTAATCTTATTTGCTTCAATCTTTATGTCTCTCTAAAAGAATTTTATCGATGGTTAATAATATTTCCTTTTCATACTGATATAAAATCAAATTGGAAAAATGAGAATATGAACGAAATAGGTTTCAGACCTTCTGATAATCTTTTGTTTATAAAATTTCTGCTTTATAACGACGCAAACTGTAATTTAAATAATTGAGTCCTTGTAGAATTTGCGATAATCTCCGACTTACAACACCGCTAGTAATATTTTATATTAAGTTTTTAATTAATTTGAAAACAATTTCTTCAGATTTTTGTTGCTCTCGTATAAAGGAAAGGAAAGTGTTTTCTTTAATATTTTCCTTTTCTTTTTTTTTTTTTTACTTTTTCAAAATTATGATATCATTTTTCGTGTTTTTGGTTTTTAAGTACAGAAATGGCATTTCAAAGGTTTCACTCTACGTACGATATTTATAATCTCTAACAAATACATGCTCATCTTAATGCTATTAAGTACGAAGTTTTCGAATGACTTGTGTTTAAAGTATTAAAATCTGACATTTGTTAATTAGATTAGACGTGTGATGAAATTGAATACATTTCACATTTTCACAATAAACAACAGCAGCAATAGTATCTTATCAGCTTAATAACAATTATCAAATATTTCAAAATATGTACATTAAAAAAAAATTATCATTTTTTTTCATATTTTTTTTAATACCAAATTCCGACAGAAAACAAGCTGATAACTGGACAATGATAGAGAAATATGTATATTTGAAAACCGCATCACAGCAAGTAACGTAACGGAACTTTATGACAACAATTTAAAATTCAAATAAGTTTTTATTAAAGTGCATACACACACACAAACATGTGCGGTAACGCATTGACACAAACATGAAACTGCTAACTGTTTTGGCAGAGTATAGTTCTGTCATATCCGTGTCTATCTGCGTATGCATGCGTTTGTGCGAGAAAATGTATTCAAGAGTCCTTTCGATATGTATGTATATATATATATATATATATATATATATGTATATATGCATACAAGATATACATACCAACTAGAACGAGCAAACAAACGAACTCTTGTATATAAGGGCAAATAGTGTTATGGTACTTTGCACTGCATTGCACACAACTGAATCAGACCATAAACACCCCAGCCATTGCATACGTACTTATATAAGCACAATTTAAGTAGAAGTGTATTGTGTAAGAAGCAGCATATACATACTATACTATATGCACTTTTTTCTTCTTCTTTTCCTTTTACGTTTTCGAAAGCAAAGTTTACGCCATTTGGAGCAAACGTACAATTGGATGATGAACGAGTAAGAGTTCGCCTAGGACGCATGGGGTTGGCCTAATATATTTTATTAAACTTAACCAACGTATATATGTATATATACATATATATAAATATATATATATATATATGAGTATGCATGTTTATATATATATATATATATATATATGGGTGTGTGTGTGTGTGCGTATGTAGGTGTGAGTGTGCTTGTGTGGTTGCAGAGGTGGTATTCACCACCTCTA